CAGACTGGTCTCGAACTCCTGACCTGAGGCGATCCACCCGCCTCAGTCTCCCAAATTGCTGGGATTACAGGTGTGAGCCACCGCACCGGCTCAGGACTATGACTTAAAGGGTCTGTGGGTAACAGACCTGCGAGGGAGGTAGTGAGGTCAGAAGCAGGAAGAATAGGTTAGGAGGGTGTTGTAGTATGCCAGGTGAGAGCTGATGGTTGCTTGGATCAGAGGTTGTAGCAGTGGAAGGGTGAGAAACAGTCCAATCATGAGTAGAATTTGAGGTATTAAAAAAAAAAAAAAAATTGCCAATCAGGCTAGATGTGTGTGGCATATGAAGGAAAAGGTGGATCATTTGGAAAGATGAGTTTGCCAATAACTGACATGGGGAAGTCTTTATGGGAGGAGCAAAGGTTGTGGGTAGGGAGATCATGTTAAGTTTGGGATGCTTATTAGACATTCAAGAGCATATATCGAGCAGGGAGTTACAGAGGCAAGAGGCACGATCAGGGGAGAGGTCTGGGCTGGATATGAATTAGGGGAGGCTTCAGCTTAAAGAGTCTATTTAGTGTTTAAATTCATTGCATTACATGAGATCACTGTGGAAATGTATAAACAGAGAGGAAGCCCTAGGACAGAGCCCCAGTGCACTTCAATGTTGCCACGGTGGGAGCTAGGAAGAAACCAACAAGAAAACTAAAGGAAGCTGCTGCCAGACAAGGAGGAAGACAGCCATGAGAATGTGGTGATAGGAAATTAGATAAAGCTTTGCAAAGAGGAAGGAGACCAGCTGGATAAGATGTTGCATTTAGGTCAAGTAAGATAAAGATTAAGCACTGGACATTTGATTTAACCTTGTGGAAATCATTGGTGACGTTAACAAACAAGTTAGTGATAACTACAGCTTGATTGAAGGGTGTGTTCAAGACAGAAGAGGAGGAGAGAAATTGGAGATGAGCAATTACAGATCTCTTCAAAGAGGAGCAAAGCAAGGGGCAGTAGCAGTAGCTGTTTGGGCGAGTGGGGGTACGTTTAGTTTTCTCCTTTTATGGGAACATAACAGCAAGTTTGTGTAGTTTGGGGAAAGATCCAGTAAAGAAGGGAAAACTGGGCTGGGCGCGGTGGCTCACGCCTGTAATCCCAGCACTTTGGGAGGCCGAGACGGGTGGATCACGAGGTCAGGAGATCGAGACCATCCTGGCTA